AAGTTTGCACCTGACAGAGCCAGTACCTGATCTGCCATAAACACACATCTACCATGATTTGTGGTAGGCTTAACCTAACAAAATGGCAATTAATCTGGGCAGGGCCACTTTGCTTCCAGGACAGGTCCCAGCAGAGCAACCCAAATGGCCTTTAATGGTCGTTCAAAAGTGCCCACATAAGACCAGTAGAGAAGGCACCAAAGTTGGAACTAAATCAGAATATCTGCCCACTGCCTTGATGAGATTCTACGCACAAACTCACCTGAGTGTCTGCAAAGCAAGGATGGGGCAGACCCACTCTTTTTGTCACACTCCATGGGTCCCCGTTCACACTCCACATATTTTTAGTGAAATGATTGTGCAAATGTGTCCTTAGGGCTTCAGTTGGAAGCAGGAAAGACTGGGGAGAAGATGCTAAAAAGGTTTGTGGTTTGGGCAACCAAAAGACTGGAGTTACAGGCTGCTGTTTGAATTTGGTTCAATTTTTTTGCCACTCGCAGTCATTCAGAGTGGGTGATCTACAAATGTGAATAAAAAATAAGTTTCTTCATGCCTGCCTGTATTTCTGACCATTAATCTTGTGGGGAAAGAGATGTCCATACTCACTGTTCACTTTATTTCACAACCGGAACTTCTCAAAAGTCTTTTGATTTCAAATCCTTAGTATTTGGCAGTAGAAGAATTCACCACAGTAGAAGAATTCACCATTTGTAAATTGTGGTTAAGTTGAGCCATCCAGGAAAACTTACAGTGTGTATAATAGTGTTTCTCAACATTGGCAACTTTATGATGTGTGGACTTCAACTCCCAAAATTCTCCAGCTAGCAACACTAGCTGGAGAATTCTGGGATAGTTGTGCAAATGTGCTCTTCCTATAGCCAGCAGATGCAAATCTGGGGGCCAATTGGAGGTTCATTCAGGGTTCAAAGAGAAGTCCCAAATGATGGATCTGCTCTTTCTGGGAGACTGCTGCCCCACACAACACAAGCTTTTTCATGCTTCCTTCCTGGGCCTGTAATTGGATTAAACCCCATTCAGGATCTAAGAAGCAGAGAAGAACGGGGCCGGCCACTGGCTTTCTGATATACTTTATTCCACTCCAGAACTCCAAATGGCCTTTCTGTGCAGTTGCATGTAGAAGCTGAACAGCAAAAGAGACAAGGGAATTACTCTAGGGAGTATCGCAGACACTGTAGGAAGAGAGATGTGTTGATCTATGGCTGTTTCTCAACCTTCACTACTTTAAGATATGTGGACTTCAACTCCCAGAATTATCCAGCCAGCATGCACTGGCTGGGGAATTCTGGGAGTTGAAGTCCACACAACAGTTGCTAAAACTGAGAAATACTGGTTTATGGTGACCAAAATCACCACCCCACCTCTAAGATGGAGGTAGTATTTTTTCCAGCTCACCAATTTTATTTAAAGACATACGCTTTTGCCTATAGTGGCCAGACTGGTATAGGGTTTAAATTGGGATGGGCTGATCAGCTGGAGATGTGGGTCTTTGTGGGTCAGGTAGATCAATTTCTGATAAACGACAGTGGCAAAACTCCAACTCTGCCCCATCACACATTCTAAAGCAGGGGTCTTCAAACTTGGCCCTTTTATGACTTGTAGACTTCAACCCCCAGAATTCCTCAGGCAGAATGCCTGGCTAAGGAATTCTGGGAGTTGAAGTCCACAAGTCATAAAAGGGCCAAGTTTGAAGACCCCTGTTCTAAAGAATGACTGGAGGGGAAAAGAAAATAAAAAGAAAAAATCCATCAATTCCTACTTTGCAACTTTCCTGCCTTAAACTGTATGAAGCCAGGCCTTGTTGCCGAAGTGCAGACAAAATATTGCTATTTCTGCCATACTTTCTCCAGGATCTGAGAGAAACACATTAATGTGTCCATGAGGAAAAGTCTTATGCTGAGGCAGAGAAGCCCACGCACGCCATCAAGCCAAGATATCTGAATGTCAAGATGGAACCTCAGTTGGAGGAGAAAGGAATTTGACCCAGATCCACCATGATCCTGAAACTTTAGTGTGGAGAAGCACTTTAAGGACTAGAACAATGGTAAGAAAGAGGTCACGTTGATCCACTCAGTTCAGAAAGCTCTAAAGGGGCCAGAAGCCCAGCCTCAAGAGGACTCCCTCCAGAGAGGAAGGGCAGCCTAGTGGACAGGCTCTCTGGAGTAGCCCAGCTTGGAATATACACAGCCTTCGTTTTTTGACAGAGCTGTTTTCAGGATGCACCCGAGACGTAGCTTGGGATGAATACGGTGTGGATATGAGGCCATCCATCTCCTGTCTCTGCTAAGAACTGATCACCCCAGAGACTTTCATAAGGCACCATTTCAGCAGGACGCCAGAGGATGAATTTTAAAGATTGGGTGTAAATTGATAGGATTTAAAATACATTTCTTTTCAGTTGGTCTATATTTTCTCTTATGGCTGTTTTAACACCATATTTTATATGTAATTCAGCGTAATAGAAGGATACTGGCTATTGACATTGATATTTTCAAGTAATTTATATTTTTGTTACATGTTGAACGAAAACCTTGTTCCGATTGACTATAAAAATGGTATCCTGAAGGACCTTAATCTGGAAAATAACTGTATCTCGTGAAAGCCTTCCCTGTTTCTGAGAAGAAGGTTTCTACCTTGAAAGCATCAAAAACTTTGAGGAGCCCAAAACGCCGAACTGCAATTGAAAGGTGTGGGGAACTGGCCGTTAGCTGACCACTCATCATGGAAAAAGGGAGAAGATGGCACAGATCAGTCTGGAAGGACTTACCCCAATAAGAGACTGAACCCCAACCGGAGGCCACCTTTAAAGCCGCCAGGCTATTAGGAAAAAGAGCATTTTCTGGTACAGCAAAAGCTGATGTTCACATTCAAGGACCGATGGGAAATACAACAAACGGTGGATGGAGGCCTGAGACATGCTTTTGCCTGACATGGGCATCCTCCTTTCTCCCTGAAGAACAGGGGTGGGGGTGGGGGGAGATGGGAGAGCAAATGGCACATTGCCATTCCAGTCCTGCGTGCCTTGGCAGCTGATGCGTCAGGGGCGTCAGTTCACCCTCGGTGCTCTTCAGCAGAGGACCGCTCCCTGCTGCAGACATGGGCCGTTTCTCTCTGCTCTGGGGCCCTCTGCTCCTGGGGCCACTGCTAGGAAGCTATTAAAAGTTTCTGCTTAACTTTCAACTCACTCTGAATATTAGCAGACAAAGTAAGCATGGAATGTTCCTCTCCGAGACGCTGAAATGCCTCCTCCCCTTCCTGGTACAAATCCAGTTCTCAGCCCTGCATTTACACATCCATTTAAGGCCCCTGCTGCCGCCCCCCCCACACACTTCCCTTTAATCGTGGGGCAGGCACCTTCAGCCTCCTCTCTGTCTGCAGGGCTGGCTGGCCCTCCAAGAGTCCCTGGGAGGCTCCTTCGGGTGGCACAACCCATTTCCTGCCAGCTGTGATGAGAAAAATCTGCAACAGAAGAAGAAGGAAGAGCAGATGCCTTAAAAGACCCGGCCAGATGCTGAGAAACTCCCTGTTGCCTTTTTAAGGGAAATGAATGTGTCTCCGAGCCCAGCAGAGGCTCCTGGGGGGGAGGGGGGTGCAAGGAAAGAGGGAGGCTAGCCAGGCACAGAGCATGCCAGTAGGACGTTTGCAGGATCAGGAGCAGCTCGTTCCCAGAGCTTCCCGTCTGCCTCCAAACTCAAGGACAGAAATTTGGCATTATATTTTTTGACAGGCAGCAAAATTCACCGCCAGATCCCCGACTTCCACCTCAAAAGACAGACTTGCAGGAAAAAAAAAATGTGGCACCTTAAAAATAGGCAATTTTATTAAAATCCAGTTTCACTTCCCTTTGCAAATGCTGCGCTTTGTCCCCCATCCCCCTAAATGTGTTCATTTAATCTACACAAGATTACGGGCAAAATATGAAAGTTCAGCATGATCCAGCCAGAAAGCTGAACTGGGGAAGAGGGCGGTGGGAACCATGGACATCTTCGGATGCATCCATCAGCCAAGGCTGCCCCAGGAAGGTGGCACAATGGACACCTGATGAACTGCACCCAGGAATGGAGACAGAAAGTTTCCATATAAGAGGCTGAGTCTAAGAAGGGAGGGGGCAGTGGGAGTAGGGAAATAAATCCCCAGGGGGTCCTGCTTTCCATTCAAATCTGGGGAAATCTTACAAGCAGCAGTGGCAGGTGGGAGAGAGTCCTCTTAAGACTCTGCTGCAAAGGCAGGCAGCCCTAAAGCTGCTGGTGAGTCTTCTGCTTCTGAGGGGGGACGAACACGGCTTCTAACAAAAAGCACGCACATATCAGAAATTGGAATCTCTCTGCTTAGAAGCAACAGGCCTAACTGTTCCAGATATCCCAAGAAAACTACCAGAAGTGGCTGTAGTGCTGGCTTCGTGCTCAAGCAAGTAAAAACCTGGGCTAAACATACCCTTTGGTCAACAGCAAAGCTCTGTCTAGGACACCAAAACCAGCTCTTAGCCCTGTAAACAATTGTACCAGAAATTTGTCAACAGAAGCAAATCTGCAAAACACAGTAATTGCAAAAGTTAAGCCCATCAAACCACAATTGGCTTGTTGCACAATGCTCTTCATACTGCAAATGGGCGCTTCTCTGGAGACAAAAGTTGCTGCATCCAACATTGTTGCTGGAAGGGATGCCCCCCAGTTCCAGACTTTCCCAGACTCGGCCAGAAAGGAGGAAGAGGATGTTCCTGTCTGTGGGTCTCCTACCTGCACACCTGTGTTGGGCTCACAAGAGACAGAGGTGGCAGGAAGAACAAGGGAAAAGATGGAACACAGACCTCTTCCCAGCTATCAGTGCAGTTGAAGAACCGCACAACCCACCTCACCACCAACTGTCCTGGTCCATTGGTGCCCTGTTGAAAGAGGAGCAGTGAAGAGGAGGGGATTTTGCTGAAGCCCTGCACAGCACAGCTCCCAATGAGTGGTCTGTGGCAATAAATTTAATGGATAACCCTCAAGGCATGCTGAATATCCTCTGCAACAGTCTTGCTCACCAAGTGGCAGCTTCAGAGCTTTAGGTCAGTTTCTGCTTACGCCAGGAAGGCCTTTTGAGTTCAGCCAGAGGACCCCTTCCCCTTCCAGATTCGGAGCCTTTGTTCAAACAGCCCCAATTTGTGAATAAGGCAGCACTGATCTGGGCATCCAGTCCAGCTCCTGCCTTGGGTTCATATCCCTTGGCCATTGCAGTGGAATGCAGCCCTGAACATAGAACAGGCCTGGCCTGGGGGGGGGGGGACCAACTCTCAGGCCAGGGACGCTGCCTTGAGAGTCGGGGGCAAAGCTGTCTTTGGTTAGGCGGCAGCAGCTGGCCAGCCGTGCTTGGGAATTTGCACTATCCAATTGACTATCATGGACTGAGGCCACCAGCTAAGGTTTTCTGCCATTTAACTCAGTGGTCCCAAACCTTTCTGGTTTTGTGAACCAGCGGGGGGGGGAGGGGGAGGGAAAATGGTTCTGCGCGAGTGGCAGGGGCGCACACTTACACACACAGCTCCATGCAGCAGGCGTTTGAACGTACACGGGTACCCGCTGCTCGGGCACATGGGGCTGCGCCTGTGTGCTGGTCTGACACTTGCACAGCCCAGTTCCAAACTGGCGACAGCCCAGTATCGGGCCATGGCCCAGGGGTTGGGGACCAATTTAACCTTCACATTTTTTATTGATGATCCTGTTTGAAAAATCCTACTTTGCCTAATTATTAATCATTAATTAGCATGATGCAAGATTTCCAGAGCATATTCAGATACTCATTGCAAACCACATAGCAAAGGGTCTGCCAAGTATCCCTTGGAGAGAACAGGTAACACTCTATTTTCCAGCACTTTTCTGCAGTTGCATATTGCAGAGTAAGATCAGTAGCAATTGACAGCTGTCTTCTGAGAAATCTGAACTACTAATGTCTGCTGCCCTTCACCTGCCAGATCCCAAGACAACTTTGGAAGCTTTTGGCTTTCCCAGAGGACAGATCACAGACTGCACAATTCAGTGAAATAATCCCTCCTAAATCAGCTCTGACAGCCACTTTTGTTCCTCACACACCCAGACTTTGGAACCCAGGCACCACCCATGCTGAAACCTGCTGTAGCCTGGGGAAGGACATGCAGCAAAGAAGCCTGGTGCCCTATTTTCAAGGAGCAAACTTAGCCTATTCTCAGTAAGAAGTGACACATCTAGTTCTTCAGCCAGTCCTCCTCACAACTTGAAACAGGTAGCAGAAACACACTACCAAGGGTAAATGAATGAATTTGTGCAGAAATGATAGGCATTTTCATGTCTCTCTCCACAGAAATATAACTAATTATGACTGAATGAAGTCACTGGAGAAAATCAGGAATTAGAAAGGGTCTCATTTCGCATCAGCTGCTATTGAGAAACAATTATGGAGGTCACGTGCATATTTTGGGCACTCTTTTTCACTTTGGGGCAGGAGAGGATCACAGCAGCAGCACGAGAGGAATTTATTGAGCTTGAATACACGTTTTGCATCTTCTACTAGGCTGTTTTTCTGCACATGGACTACATGGGGTAGTTTAGTCTTTCACAGGGTTTAAAGCATAGCCGTAGAAAGATTAAGCTTAGACTGACATGTTTTTATAAAATGCAGATTCCTAAAAAGGGAGAATCGGTAACAAAAAAAACCTCCTAGCTAGTTATTTCAAGAAACTCCTTTGATTCTCTCTTCGTAAACACATGAATTATTCCCTTGGAACAAGGTGCCATTATCTAGGGCAAGGGACCCTAACCCCAAGGCTGCAGCAAGTGAGCACACACAGCTCTATTTGTGTTCACACAAATGGAGCTTCACACACGCACAGGAGTGCCCACCACTCATTCAAATGGAACTGCATGCATAAGTGTGTATGTCTGCTACTCGCACAGAACCATTTCCTCTCCTCCCCCCCCTCTAGTCCGTAAAATTAGAAAGGTTGAGGACCCCGAATCTAGGAAAGAGGAATCTAAGACCTATAGGCACTAGCCTGATTTTCTTTGTGGGTACTTTCTTCTATCCGACACAAAAATTGCTTTATTACCGCTCACTAAAGTCAAAATTTTGGCACAGCAGTTGAGTGTGAGAATTCCAAATCACTGATGGGGCCGATGTTTTCCAAGAACACGCAAGAGTTGAGAAAGATCTTAATAGATAGAAGGATGGATGTTCTCCGAGTCAAGCCAAACACTTCCAAGAATTGTTCCTGTTTGTTTGTGCCTGTGTGTGTGTTCTGGAGCCTGGTTTGTTGAAAAACCTTTGTCAGCAGCCAAGACTAGCTGTATCAAGGTTAGGGTTAATTTTAGTTTATAATTTTGCTTTACTGATTCTCAGCAATGCCCCAAATTATTATTTGCATGTGATCAAAGAGAAGGCAAAATTCCTTTGTTGTTACAGGTAAGATTCTGGATATCACTGCACAGAAAGTGAGAGAAGCAACCATAAATTAGCTTTAAGAAGGACAGAAATAGCTGATGAGAGATATAAAGGCAGCCTTATCGAAGGTCCAGCACTGCCACTTCTTGTTCCATGATGGTCACATGGTTGCAAGTCTGAAAGAGAGAAAAGAAACCCATGACAGTCTGGAACAATATAGGCACTGAAGGGCCAGGTCCTTACCTGGAAGGAACCGATGGCTCCTTCCTTGGAGACAGGGCCGTCCTGCCTTTTCCTAAACAGGCGGCGGTTCCCCTTCCCCCTAGAAGCTGCCCAGGACCCAACTTTCTGGACACTTTTTGTCCAATTTTCAACATTTCCTTTTTAGGAAAAGTTGCCGAGAAGATGGTGGTGCACAGCTCCAGAGAATCCTGGAAGGAGCAGGTTATCTGGAGGCTCTGGGTCTGAATTCAGGCCAGGGGACAAGAAAAGCAGGGGCCGTGTTCTTCGGGCGGGAACGGAATGGGGTTCTTAACCTCTTGGCAGCTGCTGATGCCATCAACCATGGCATCTTTCTGATTGGCTCCAGAGGCTGGAAGTGAGGAGCACTGTGTTGTGCTGGTTCTCTTCTCTCCTCTGCAACCAGTTCCAGTCAGTATTGATGGGGAAGAGGCCTTGCCCTCGAGCCCCCATTTTGTGGTTTCCGTACTCCCTCTACTCGTGTTTAACATCTATATAAAGCCTCTGGGCAAGGTCACCCAACAGCACCAGAGGAGGTACACAGATGTTGCTCAGCTCTGAATTTCCATTGTAGAACCTCCAAGTGATGCTACCGAGGTCCCGTTTTGGTGTTTGGAGTTAAATCTATAGCAGTGACACACTTTTAGGAAGCTTTGGCAGTAGAAAATTTAGAGAGGAGGTGGGAAGAGATGGAGAAAAGTTGTTTCCTGACCTGAAGAGGCAGAGAGAGTTTCACCATTAAAATCCCACTGCTTTATTTATTTTGAAACGCATCCGGTTGTCCAACTCCATGACAACACTGAAGGGATCAAATCCTACAAGGAAGGAAAAAACCTCCCACCCAAAGGCCAGAAGGGCGACCCTGAAGGCCGGACTCGCCCCGCATGCCAGGCCAAGGCCTGGGGAAAGGCCTCCCCTGGACTTTCAGAGGGAGTTCTGGGAAGCAGCTGCAACCAGAAGACCTTTGCTTCTCTCGGGTACTTACAATAAAGAGAGGAGGATCTTTGCAGTGGGGATGGAATCCTTTTTGTCTGCAGGAAGAGATCTCCTCCATTCCATGGTCTGTCAGTTTAAAGAATCCAGTCCTAGACAGTAATTGTGGACAAAATCAGCTGGCTCCAAATGGTGTGAATGGCCTCAGAGCCAAGAATAGTATTAAGTTCAGAAGAACAGAGGGAGAGCTGTACCTTGAAGAAACTTGTCCAAAACTGAACAGTTCCTTCCTACCTACAAAACCAGAACCCTGCTTATCTACAATATGGATCATTCTTTGTATTTTGCCCTTCTCGGTTTTGGCTAAGTTTCCCTCAACAGGTAAACTGGAACAGAACTAGAATTTCCACAGGATTTGAACAAAGTAGCCTCATTAATGAGCTGCTTAAATTCACCCGAGGTGCCTCTGAATCACAATCTTCCCCAATTTCATTAGTTATTCAGGGAGGCACAGAGTGCATCTGAAATGTGGTACTTGTCCCTTAAAGCAATAAGAACAGAACAGAACAGAATAGCTTTATTGCTCGTGTGATTAGGAATTTGTTTCTGGTACAGTAGCTCTCAGTATATATGCAAAGCAACAGAATCATCACCATCATCAATCATCCCAATAAGAGAGGGGGAATAAAGAAGATAATAAGGATAAGTGATAATACTACATATTATATGGGTAAATACACACAGATATTAGACAGCACTGTAAGAATTAGGTGTTCAGCAGATTGATGGCCCGAGGGAAAAACTGTCCCCGTGTCTAGTTGTTTTGGCATGCAGTGCCCAATAGCGCTGTATCAAGGGGAGGAATTTATGTCCAGGATGTGAAGGGTGTGTAGTCCCAAATGCAACCCTGTGATCTTACTCAATCTCACAACCAGATTGGGATAGACACAGTCCAATAACTTACTCTTGATACTTAGGTGAACAAACGATAGCAATAGACTCTGGCAACATCATCTGATAGGAGCAATGGGTGTGCAAATCCACGCTGGAAAGGAAAGCTGTTTGAGTAGGATGAGTCTGAAGCAAGAAAAAAGAGGGTAAATGTTAAAATGAAACAAGAATGGGGGGGGGGGATTTGGGATATGTTTCAGTTTCACTCTGCTTATCATTTTTCCATTCTGTCTTTTAAAAGGCCAAACAAAAATTTTCTTCTGTATTTTCTGGAGATAAACATTTTTAAGCAGTATTCTTTAATATATTGCCGGTTTTTATTCTCAAAAATATAGTTTTTGTGTACAATTTTGAGACACTTGCACGTTCTTATTTACAGACACATTTTGTATATAATGAGAAAAAAATCCAAAATGTGGAAAATATGAACTTCTAAAAATACGAACAAGGAAATATGAACAGTTTTGTAAACTGTTATCAAAGTTCCCATAAGTGGACTACTCAGTGGGCAGAAGGGGCAAGATTCCCAGGAGGTCCCCGCCCCCGCTAAGGGCATGCAAAGGGCATCTACTGGAAGACCCAGAGGCAATCCACCTGGGGGTCCTCCTTTGAAGGAACAGCTTCTGGGAGAGAAGCCGCTGGCTGGACCAGCAGAGAAGCCCAGAGGGACTGTCCAGGGAGAGACTTTGCGCGCGCATGCGCGCGCGCACACACACACACACACACACACCTTCCTCTGCCCTGCAGCCATTCTCTCTCTCGGGGAGAGAACGGCTATAGGAGACCCACCCCAGGGCAGGTTTTGGACCCTGGAAGGGCCTGGGCAAAGGACGCTTACATGGATCCATCCCAAGGTGATCAGGCTGTTCTGATCCTGGATTAGGAAGAGCTCCTCCTCACTCTCAGTGTTGCAATAGTCAGGGCCTCCATGCTGCTTGGGAACAATGACGTGGGTTATTGTGAATTCATTCCTCATCTGATGGGGGAGAGAAAGAAGGCCAAATGTCAGGAAAAAATAATTTTTTCAGGTAAATGGTTGGTAGGCAGGCCTGGGAATATGGCATCCTCTAAAACAGTGCTCCCCAACCTTTCCAGCTATGCGGACCAGCAAGGGAGGGGGAGAGCCATTTTTTACCCTTATGACTAATGCAGCATCCTCCTGGTCACGTGACCAAAATTCAGATGCTTGGCAAAACTGACTCACATTTATGATGGTCGCAGCGTCCCGGGAGGGTCATGTGATCCCCTTTTGCAATTTTCTGACAAGCAAAATCAATGGGGAAGCCAGATTCACCTAAAACTGTGTCACTAACCTAACAACTTCAGTGCTTCACTTAACAACTGAGGCAAGAAAGATCACAAAATAGGGCAAAATTCATTTAACAAATTGCTCACTTAGCAATAGAAATATTGGGCTCAACTGTAGTTGCAAGTCGAGACTATCTGTATTTAGTTGTGAGGTCAAACAAAAAGAGACACCAGTGGGTGAAGGTTGTGAAACCGCTATAGAAGCCTGTGGGTTTGGTCACATAAAGGAAATGGATGAGGACCGAATCCCAAAACAAACGTAAGCTGCAGCCAAGAGTGAGCATGTTAAGAGGAAGGGGAAAGCCAAGAGCACCCTGGCTGCAGAGAGAGCATGAGAGCCGCAAGAGTAAAAGAGACGGGACCTCTCAAATACAAAAGTCAACGGGTGAATTAGTATCGGGATGCAATGGAAGCAACAATGTTTTGCAAACATAGAAAGTTACACGGAAATAGACAGCAGTGAGTTGTGCTGGTGTAAATTCCTTTCCTCTCATCTTCTTTAATTTCTTTTCCTATTGCTTCTTGCTCTTTTTCTGCACTTTGCCTAATGCTGTTTGCTCCAAAAGAGAAAATAGCACATATGTTGTTAGTGGGGCTCATTGGGGAATTCTGGGAGTTGAAGTCTACCCATCTTAAAACATGCTGAGGTTGAGAAATACTGAAATACTGGATGTCGTCTTGTAGCACACTCACACAAAAAAGAGAAAAATGTTTAAAAGAAGCCCAATTTCTATCTAATTTTTATTGCTTTTATGTCTGCGAAAAAATATGTTGTTGTCCTTATCTCAGGCACAAAGAAAACAGGAACATCGAGTAACAGGGCTGGAGGGGACTTTGGTGGTCTAATCCCCTCCTCAATCAGGAAACCCTGCACCATTCTGGACAAATGGCCCTTTTTAGAAACCTCCAGTGATGAAGCACCCACAACTTCTGGAGGCCAGCCGTTCCCGCTGATTAATTGTTCCAACGGTTAGGAAATTTCTCCTCAATTCTCAGTTGAATCTCTCTTTATCATCTTTGTTGCTTTTCTCTGCATTCTTTCTAGAGTCCCAGCCTCTTTTTTGTATCTTGGTGACCAGAACTGGACATCTGCTTTCCCTGAATTTATAGGGCAAATTCCTTACCATTTGCAATTCACTCAGTTAGGAACTCCTGCCATAACTTGATCACGAGTCATACTTAAGTCATACTTAAATCACAAAAGTCTATTATGACAGGCAACAGTTTCTAAAAGTAACAGGACCCTATAGTTCTTCCAACTACTCGGGCCTCCTTCTATCTCATATACTTGCATACTTCCTTCAAAGAGGAATGGCGAGACCTGTATCAAATGATCAAGTTACCATTTCAGGAGACTTCACAGAGCCTTGAGGATTTATGCCATCATCTTACCAGCTTCCCACAGAGGATCCCACATGTCTCCACACCTCTGGCTGTATTTGCATCTGCCAACTGCAGAAATTTATGACAGAGCTCCCTGGGGACAATGATGTGGCGAAGACCATCTATAACTGCATCTGTAAAGAAAGAACAAAGTCACAGGGTGTAATAGGCTGAATTCCAGCATAGCCATTTCCCCAACTTGCTAATTTGCTAGGCAGAGACAGTTTTATTCATCACAAGCTCTGCCTACAACCCACAAGGCACAGTCTAGCAGTCTCACTTGATATTTGTAAAACAGGGCACAGAAAAATGTGGACTTGAGATTTATGCTTTCAGAGGGCCAAGCGTTATTTTAACCAGAGCAAACTCCTGCCAAAAGTGGTGAGAATAATCAGCTAACCTATTGCAGTGCTGGAAATCTTTTTCCAAAGTGGTTTTGTGCTATTCCAGCTTTTGTGTTTTTTTTTTAAAGCTTTCAATAAAAATAAATATTGCTAATCTATTACAAAAACAGATCACTGCAGCAGCACCATCTACAACCTAGAAACTTTTAGGGGGAAATCTGAAAACCTTTTGGTGGCACAAACGAGGACAAGGACCTTTAATGCCAGGACCCTCCACTGGGTCAGAGGTCAGGGTTTTCCAGTTAACAGCTGAAGACCGTCATCTTGCCAGGCTTTGAGGGAAAACTCTCTCCAAGGCCAAGTGGCACAACTCTTACCCAACTTGATTTCTCAGAAGATGGAGCATGCTGGGAAACAGGATGGGCCTTCATCTGGAGAATCAAAGAGGTCTCCTCTGACCCCAGTGGTTGTTTCCAGGCCACCTTGCTTAGAAAGCAGATGGCAAGAATCAACTCTAGGATAGTGGCCCAAGGCTACTTAGCTATAAAGCTGGTTGGAGACTGTCATGGGATGCAAAGAGAAGCATGTAGAAGATTCGACTTTGGTAGGATTTAAGTTTTGGAAAACAACAGATTTCAGACGGCAAAAGAAATGCCAAGCAATCCAGATATTCTGCTAAGAACCTTCCAGTTCATTAGAATTAGAATGTGAAATAGATCAAATGTTGGCCTCTTAAGCATTCCCTCATCTGCAACAAAGGGATTGGATTGTGCAGGGAGAGGGGATTATTTTGAGCCTTGGGAGCCAATTCCGACAAGACTATCACTGCATTCTCTAGAAGGTGTACCAAATTCATCCCAAAACATACTGTTTTCTGAGTTCCCCGAAGTGCCAGGTTTTAGAGACCTGTCCACTATGGGCGGCTTTGGTAGTCCACTTCCTCCAGCGGGGCTCAAAGGTTGACCAGCAGACATAAGGGTTTGGGGATCGGTGGGGGGCTTGAGCACACCAGGTATTAAGGGATCCTCCAAGGGGCCGGGAGTTGCTGTCCCAAATTGCTGCACCACCCTCAGGCGCTCTTTCTCAAGCTCCTGGCGCCTGATCATGTCTTCAAAGGCATGGAACTGCTCCTGTTCGGCCTGCTGTTGCTTCATGCGAGCCACTCTCTGCCTCTCCTCCTCCAGCTGTTGCTGTAGGGCCAAGGTGCGGGCAAATTCCTCCTCTTGCTTCTTCTGGAATGGTAAGAGAAGAGTCACCAGATCATATGAGAAATGACAGCAGGAGCAACACTCTTTGGGCATCTCTTTCCCTAGCAGCAAAATCTGGGTTAAGAACTGAGCAAGATTTGAGGAGCAGGGATGATCTTTGGGAGAATTTGATCCAATAGTTAGAACAGGTGAACAGAACGGAATAGAATAACAAGAGCTGGAAGGGACCTTGGAGGTCTTCTAGCACAAACCCCTGCACAAGCAGGAAACCCTATACCATTTCAGACAAGTGGCCGTCCAATCTCTTCTTAAAAACTTCCAGTGTTGGAGCATTCACAACTTCTGAGGCAGGTTGTTCCACTGGTTAACTGTTCTAGCTGTCTTCAAATTTCTTAGTTCTAGGTTGCTTCTCCCCTTGGTTAGTTTCCACCCATTGCTTCTTGTCCTGCCTTCAGGGGCTTTGGAGAATAGCTCGACTCCCTCTTCTTTCTGGCAACCCCTGAGATATTGGAACACTGCTATCATGTCACCCCTAGCTAGTCCTTCTTTTCCTTAAACTAGACATAGCCAATTCCAGCAACCATTTTTTATATGTTTTAGCCTCCAGTCCCCTGATCATCTTGGTTGCTCTTCTCTTAACTCATTAGGTGACTGGCTCATAAAGCAGCTTTCTATATATTGTTTGCATTTTTTTTTAACTCTGCCTTTCCATTATGTTACAAGGAAAATAGTTAGAAACGCTAATGTACAAAAGGAGCCTGGGCTGGAAGAGAAGCTAAAAGTAATTTAAAAAGAAGAAAGGGGGAGAGGGAGGAGAAGTAGAACTGGTGCTGGGACTAAATGGAAAGTAATATGGGTTTATCAAGACACAATTATGCCAAGCTAACCTGATCTCCTTTTTCTGATAAAGCGACTGGTTTAAGTGATCATGGAAATGCAGTGGACATAGTTTGTCATGACTTCAGCAATGTATTCAACAATTTCCCCCATGAAATCCTAGTAGAAAAGGTGACAAAACATGGGATGGACTGTGGTATGTCACTATCTGATGGCTACAATGCTGCTTGAACAAGCACACCGGATGAATGTCTGTCGGTGGCTTCTCAATCAGCTGGAGGGGAGACTGGGTGGCATCTGGGGGGACCCTCTTCTAAGCCTTCTGTTGTTCAACCCTAAGTGACTTGGGGGATGGACTAGAGAATAAGATGATCAAATATGCTAAAATCACAAAGAGTGGGGAACATCTTTAGAGGGCAGTATCACATAGTTCAGGAAAAATTGGCAAGCTGGAACAATATTCATAAACCATCAAAATTAGTTCCAGCAGAGACAGATGTGAAGCTCTACATTTTGAATAGGAAAAATGGAAGGCAACTAAAGGACTAGGGAAAATCCACAGGGCAACCGTGCATGTGAAAAGAATCACTAACTAAACATGAGCCCAGAGTGTGGAGCAGCTGCAAAAAAAAAGCAAATAGAATTCTAGTTGCAGCAACAGAAGCAGCAGGCTGCCAAGATCAAGGAAGGCATGGTTTTCTCTTTTCTGCACTGGTCATTTCAAACTTCGAGCACAGTACACACACACACACACACACCCCGACTGAACGCTGCAATTTAGGAATGGCGGTGACAAACTGAAGTGTGCCATCATAAAAAGACACTTGGAGGGAAATCTTACAAGGAAGGAGGCGAGGTATGTTTAACCAGAAAATAAATTTGCAACCGTACATGATAATGGCCTTCTAAAAGGCTGTGATGAAAGATGGGGCAGAAGTATTTTTATATTAATATAAACATGTTTATATTTCGGCGGGGCTGCAAGAATTTCCTAATATTAAGTTCACCAGTGGAACAGCCTGTCTTATGAGCTGATGGAGCCTCCTTCGCTGGAAGTAGTTAAACAGAGACTGAAGGAAGGGCTGTCACAATAGTGGATTCCTAAAACAGACAGAGGGTTGGATCCGATGATCCATGTAGTTTTCCTGGCAACTTCTTTGAAAACATTTCTTTGTTTCTTATTCAAATACAAATGAGGGCCCAACACTGCTTAGATTCAGAACCTAGACATCAACCAGCTGCCGTCATTTATACCCAACAATATTCATATTAGATATATGCCATTTTAGTTACATTTAAGTTAAATCTTTTTAGTTTTTGTTAAGGCCCTACCCACTTTTTATCTTGATGCAGCTTATTTTGTCCCTTGACTGTGCATTCTCCCAGTATCTCCAAAGATACCGACTGGGCTTCTGCAGCGCTTCAACAGACATAATTCCCAGAAATTAAGGAGAATCAATCCAGGTCAGCAGAGCTACATTGCTAGCATGACAGCCAGCTGGTTTACTTTCGCACAGCCAGATTAGGGCCCAAGCATTCCAACAGCCAAGGCAACAGAGAACTCCAGAACATTCTGTTACTCACCTTCTGTATATTGTACTCTGCATATTCTTTGTTGTATTTTGCTAAAAGCTCTTTTTTCAACTCCTCTGCTTTAGGGAATGCAACCTCTTTTAGTTTCTGAGTTAAGGAAAAAAATAGCACAAAATTAGACATTTGGAACTAGAACTAAAGCTGTCCAGGATGTGAGGGGTCTGTAGATATTTTTTCAGCCTTCTTTCTGGCTGTTGCCGTATACAGGTCCTCAATGGAAGGCAGGCTGGCTGCCGTTATTTATTCTGCAGTCCTAATTATCCATTGAAGTCTGTACCTGTCCTGTTTGGTTGCTGTGCCAAACCAGACAGTTATAGAAGTATAAATGACAGATGTGATATTTCCTCTGTAGAACTGTATCAGCAGATCTTTGGGCAGTCTGAACTGTCTGAGTTGATGTAGAAAGAACACTCTTTGTTGTGCCTTTTTAATGATGGTTCTAATATTAGGTGTCCATTTTAAATCCTGGGAGATCATAGAACCTAGAAACTTGAAGATCTCTACTGTTGATTCTTTGTTACCTAACGTAGTAAGCAGCGGTAGAATAAGAGGGCTCCTCCTAAAATCCAATTTCATCTCTACAGTTTTAAGTGTGTTCAGCTCCACATTGTTCTGGCTGCACCATAGGGCCAGTTGTTCAACCTTCCATCTATATTCCAACCTAAACCAGTGACTGTTGTATTATCTGAAAACTTCAATGCTTTAACAGAGGGACCCTTAGAGATGCAGTCATTGTATCTAGCGAGAAGAGTAATGGAGAGAGCACATAGTCCTGGGGGGGGGGCGCCTGTTCTAATTGTTCAGGTATTCTATGTGATTTCCCCTAGCATCACCTACTGCAGTGTTTCCCAAACTTGACAATTTTAAGGCATAAGGACTTCAACTCCCAGAATTCCACAGCCAGCAACGCCCTCCACCCGCGCCCCACAGCATCATCTGCGTGCAACGGGACATGAGGGTGGAGTTTGTCCCTGCTGCACAGCAGCCATGTCCTTGGCTGCGCTGCTCCACACGGGCTGTGCCTGGGGGCAACTCTTCTCCAGGGGGGCTGCTGTTGAGGAGGGAGCTGTGGGGGGAGGCGGGGTTGGGGCAAGGGTGCCCATGCCCATAGAGAGGGCTCTGAATGCCACCTCTGGCACGCGTGCCATAGGTTCACCACCACTGTCCTAGGCTCTTCTGCAAGTAAATACTAATTCAGAATTAAAGGCATGAACAACAATGAGCCATGGACTGCCTTGGCTTGGTTAGAAGAACAGAGGCATCACATCCAGAAAGAAACAAACAGCACTTCCCACCTTCCACTGGCAAAGTTGAAAAAGTAAATGTGAGATTGAACAGAGATATTCAGTTTCACAGGAGGAGCATCAAGTTTGTACATCAAACTTGTAAAACTCTCATGCAGGATTCTCTCCAAAGAGGACTTCTGAACATGCTAACTGGGCAGCCAACTTACTTTTTCCTATTGCCAATGTACAGGCAATTTTTAGGAGACACTCTTACAAGAAAAATATTTTTATCACTTACTTTCACTGTCTCTCTCTTCTCTGGAATGATTGCAGTTTTATATTCACGATGCTTGGGGAGTTTCTCTAAGAAAAGCCTGAAAGAACAGAGCACAAAGGGACGTTAAGATAGCATAAATTAGGCTTAGTGTACTCATTATATTTATCCTGGATGCCTAAGAATATGTCTAAACATTTTAATCAGAATACTTATGCCAAAAATAAGGTGAGGCTCTCCAAATGTTTTGATTTATTTACTTATGTATTATACCCTATTTTTAAATTCAAATATTATATAATAATAATAACAACTTTACTGTTGAACGTACACCAATTGGCATACATCAAAATGAAATTTCGTTGCACACAGCTCTCAAAGGGCCACCACCTCCGATATACACTCCTTGTTCGTGGCCAGCTCAAGTTTCAGATCATCCATTTTAGTCTCTAGGGAGCGAACGATGGGAAACAGGACAGATGGAAACGGAGCTCCATGTGGATTATACTATCCTCTTAAATGATTCTACTACTCACTATTCCACCCTTTACTCCTTATCCCTGGCAAGCTGGCAAGAAGAACAGTACTGTGTTTTCCCGAAAATAAAACCTACTCCGAAAAATAGTCCTTAGCTTGACTTTTGGGAGTGGGCCTAATATAAGCCCTACCCCAAAAATAAGCCCTAGTTTGAGGCACCAAAAAATCAAGCTAGGGCATGGATGGTGTGGTGGTGGAGCTTACCATTGCACCCAGACCTCCCGTGGATCGATATTTGCCTCACTGCAAGGATCAGCTTCATTCTGCAGCTGAGAATTGAACTCAGCCTGCATTTCATAGTCAGAGGCCTTTCTGGAAGGCCTTTGCAGCCAAGAACCGAGCTGTGGATTGACTGTGAACTGCAGGCCAGAGCTCCATTCTCAGATGCAGAATGAAGCTGATCCTTTGGCCGAAGAAGGGGGCCAGCTGGGTGGGCTGTCGATGCCACCGTTGTGAAGTGAATGGAAAATAATACCTGGTGCCTCTTTTGGAGGCAAATAAAATAAAATAAAATAAGACCAGGTCTTATTTTTGGGGAAACATGATCAAGTCCACAGAGCCAGAAGCTATACATCCCAGGGTTAGATTCTTAAAAGTATATTTTTAGAGACAAGATTACTATCCACATAACCACACAAATTCTCTTTCCAGATGAGGTTCCAGGAAACCTCTTCTACACTGCAGTAACACAGTGTAGTTTTCTTCAAAGGTGATCAGTTGTATCTGTCACAGAATCATACATTCTCCCTGAGAAATTACATCTCTATTGCCAATAGGATTCTGAAGATCCAGTCCTGTAGCCCAAGAGAAATTTAATTTTATGTAATTCCCCCTCCCCCAAATCAAATTGTTTTCAAGCCAGAACTATTGTATGATAAGTAGCAAAACACATCTTTCCTTTCAGGAAATTGTATTATAATATCTATAACCTACTTTGCTCCTACACATACAACATTCTGACAGAACAAACTCTTTGGAGAAATTGTAATTTTGGCTCCTATATGTTTTACTTAGATGGTGCAAAAGGCAAGGCAAAAACAGATGAACTCATTTGGGCTAAAGATAAATAAAAAGTTTACAAATTCCAGGATGGCTAGCTAGTTTGCAACACAAAGATATTCTATTGATTTGTCAGAATAAAGGCTTATAATTGAGCAAAGCTTATTTCTTACGTAATGTATTTGTTGTACAATATAAAGGCACGTTCGATGTTGCCTTCTTCAGAATAAATAGTTGCCATTCGGATTATTTCAACACCTGAACGGTAGTATCGCCGTGGTGGAACATCTTCATTCACCTCCACAGTACTCCCCATATGAATGAGACCTCTGACCCGGTCTTCTGGGGGCAGGCTGACATCTGCATGGTCAGGCATATAGGTTAATCTGAAAGAAGAATTGATATGATCTGAATATTTGTATCAATATGATCTGAATATTTGTTAGTTATTTAGTCCATATATTCCAGATTTCTTAGATATATCAGTATAACCTTGAGATAACAACAATAATAAAGTTGGAAGGGACCTTGAAGGTCTTCTAGTCCAACCCCCTGCTCAAGCAGGAGAACCTATACCATTTCAGACAAATGGCTGTCCAATCTCTTCTTAAAAACTTCCAGTGTTGGAGCATTTACAGCCTCCGGAGGCATGTTGTTCCATTGGTTAATTGTTCTCACTGTTAGGAAATTTCTCCTTAATTCTAGGTTGCTTCTCTCTTTGATTAGTTTCCATCCTTTGCTTCTTGTCCTGCCCTCTGGTGCTTTGGAAAATAGCTTGAGTCCCTCTTCTTTGTGATACTGAGATACTGGAAGGCTGCTATCATGTCACCCCTAGTCCTTCTCTGCATTAAACTAGACATACCCAATTCCAGCAAATGAATGAGGAAAACTTGTATTTGAACCCAAAGAAGCTTGAAGTTCTAGCTTTACAGTTTGTTTCAATACATGACATTAAAGAATATTTTTCCCTATCAGCCTTATCTCTGAAAGCAGATAAGGGCAACCTACATAGTCCTATTAATGCAATTTCAGTAGGAAAACTTTAGTTGAAACAGTTTCAGCACATAGATGCAAAGCACAGCCCTCATCACCTAATCAGATTAGTGAGTTGATCAGTGTATAAATTTGATCGACAAACTACAAATTGAGCAAACCATGCTTTATATTGCAGGCTGAGTGTTTTCTGGTCAGTAAGAACTCTGGAAGGAAGGAGCTGCATCCCACTTGGCAGCTCCGTAAAGGAAATCCCCTCTAAAACATATCAAGAATGGTTGCAGAAGGACTAGGAATGGCATGATAGCAGAATTCCAGTATTTGAGGGGCTGCCACCAAGAAGAGGGGGTCACAAGCACCAGAGGGAAGGACGAGAAACAATGGATGGAAACTGATCAAAGAGAGAAGCAACCTGGGATTAAGGAGAAACTTCCTAACAGTGAAGACAATCAACCAGTGGAACAGCTTTGCCTTCAGCTGGAGGCTTTTAAGAAGAGGCTGGACAGTCGCTTGTCTGAGATGGTCTAGGCCAGGGATAGGCAAACCTGGCTCTTTTATGACTTGTGGATTTCGACAGTCCACAAGTCATAACAGAGCCAAGGTTCCCTAACCCTGGTCTAGGCTCTCCTGCCCTGGCAGAGGGCTGGACTAGAAGATCTCCAAGGTCCCTTTGTTATTCTGTTCTCTTCCTCCCCGAGAAGCCCTTCGCCCACCGCCCCGGAAGCCCCTTGGGCCCGCCCTGCCTGCTGTCCTGGGGCGGCGGGAGGAAAGGCGAAAGGCGACCCTCTCCCGCCGACTGACCTGCACAGAAGCTCCCGGCCGGCAACAGGCCACCACAGAACCGCGCAAAAGTCGCTTCCGGCTTCTCTAGGCCAGCTCTCGGACACTGAGATGAGGCCGGAAGTTGAGCCGAGGAACTTCCGCTTCCTTCTGTTACGAAGGTCAACCCAGAAGTTTTTCCTGTGAGTGCCGGATGGCCGGCCGTGCTCCCTGGCTGAGGCTTCGGCCCTCGGAGGCGGCTTGTACGGCGCCCGGCTTCCTAGGTGGGGCGGGGCGTGTCTCGCAGGGCTTCCGGAAAAGCCGCAACTGGGTCGGGATGACTTTTTTTTCTTTCGAGGAGGCTTCGTGGGAAAGTAAACACGGCCGGGCGAGGCCTGCGGCTGGCGGGCGGGCTCGGAGCTTTCTCCAGATTCAGTCCCCCGCGACTTCCTCGAGAGCTGCCCGGTGAGGCCATCTGGATCTCGGCAGCTTCGCTCTCGGTGGGCATTTACAGGTACCCCGCGGTGACCACTTGCCGCCTTCCCGGAGAGCGAAATCGCAAAGCAGGGTTAGGGGGCTCCTTGCTTAAAGATCGCATCCCCAGATGATGGAGTTCCCAGCCCCGAAAGCGATCGTTAAGAACGAGGATGTAGCAAAGCGTGTTTATTTTTGGGAGCCGGGCGGTGAAATTAAGCCAACTCTGTGCTCCCTGATCAAGCACAGGCCTATGAGAAGGCTAAAAACTGAACCAAAAGGCAAAGGCAAAAAGCCCCCGTCAGTTCTAATTTGTAAAATAACCTGGAAAAGAAACGCATCTCGTTTTGCAGGAGGCGTATCGCCGTTTTGATGGGTATATACCAGCTTCTGCAGGAGCTCTGAGAAGGGCCTGATCCCATTACGTCGCTCCAGGATCAGTCTTGGAGGATGGAATTACAGTCAATGATTTAATCGAGCAAGGAGACGATGCCTAATGAAATGATGCTGCAGTTATTTTCAAACTTGGCATGCTGCGGTCCCTGGAGGGGGGGGTTGGGTACCCCTACTCTAGTACAGTATTTTGGCCGTCTGAAAGACACCAAGACTTCAGCTCCTAGAATTCCTCAACCAGCATGTCAAGTTTGAAAATCATTTCTCTGCCAAATAGAGTTGTTAATTTCAGCACCAGACTCCCAGAATGTAAACACATTTTGCTGCAGCCACTTTTTGGACTGGGAACTCTTTATCATTAGGGGATGTAATCATTAAGCAAGACACCATCTGACTGTGTTTTGCAATTTTACTGTTAGCTTCTCCATTGCTGTGAAGCCGGAACGTGACAAGGCAATAGTTGTAAATGCCCATCGATTTGTGAAGCAGCCGGAGTCCTGATCACTTAATCGCAGGGACATTGCAGCAGTTGTAAATGCAATTAGTCTTGAAGTTACTTTTTCAGTAACATTGTAACTTTGGTTTGCTAAACAGAGCATTAGTTAAGCAAGACCAGCTCATCCCATTTTTCAGCCACGAATGAGCATTACAATATGAAATAGAAATCAGAAAATTGATCTAAATTACTCATCTCTTAAATTACTGATTTCAAAACATTTGCTGCTTTTGAGTGACCACATTTGGATGCTTATATAGTAGTTGACATAATATTGTTGGATTGATAAGGGAATTTTATTTATTCTTAATATTTTTCACATTTTCTAGTCTCAAAAATGTGTTAATTTTTAAATTTCATTTTAGATAACATAATTTTTAAAATATCTGCTAATTCAGCTATTTTTAGTCATCCTAGTGAGGGCTACCAAAAATGGACTTTGTATCACCAACAATATGGACTTTGTAATATTGTACTTGCTAACTAATGGTTTTTTGAATTTTATTTTTCTCTCTTTTAAACTATTAACTGATAAACTGTTAAATAGTTTATCAGAATCTTGCAGCTGGAATATAGAATTTTCTCCCCTCAATAGTTGGACCTTGCTACTGCTAATTGATTATTGCATTTAATGTTTCCTAACTGCAAGTTAAACTATTTTTGCTCTCTAGGTGAGGATTGGATAGAAGTGTAATTGGGTAACAAGATGCCTGTAGCTTATCTCCTGAAAGATAAATAACTTTTCCAGTGTTAATTTAATCTTATTTGTCTCTTCATGGACTCTAACCTTATGACAGTAACATTCTAAATTCTCCATCTACAAGTTTCTAGAAGCTCATTTAAATGATCGTGCTTAGTATTATAATTAGTATGTAGCATATTTAACGTCATATAATTGACTTTCTATGTAAAGGGGCAGCATGGGCTTTGTCCTATCCAATTAACTTTTCTTTGTACTTTCCTTTGATGTGTTACCATTGGCTGGGCATGGCCCATTGGCTGGGCATGGCTACGGTGGTAATGGCAGACTGGGTGGGACTAAAAAGTTCAATCAATCAATTCCAACTTTGCATCTTTTTTTTCCCGCGAGAAGTTGAAATTGACTGATTGATTGAACCTTTTTTTTTTTTTGCACATGGCGGCAGAGGCCTAAAGCGAAAAGGTTTTATAAAACCCAACTGAAGGCATAGGACTGGGGCAACGGCGAGCGTACTGACAGAGAGGACTGAGTGCCGCTTCTGGCACCCGTGCCATAGGTTCGCCACCACTGTTCTATCCTATCCTATCCTATCCCCAATCCTTTGGTATCAGGGCCAAATGATCTGTTGCTGTGAAAAGTGAAGGTAGAACTGGTATCCACCATTCTAAATTACTTTTATTACCTCGTAGCTTTTTTTTTTTTTTTTTGCACTATCTGAAACTGAAAACATTCAATGGGATGACTAGGCTGGATTTATAACAGGATGTTCAATACTAGACCATGCTTTGATGCTGCAACACCTAGTATAAAAGTATATCCATAATTCAGGACAATTTATCTTTAAAAATATCAAAATCTTGCTACGTTATATATAAGCTTTGCTCACAAATAGTTGCTAATAGTTGTTAAGATATAGTTTTGTGGTGTTCATTTTATTAAACATACTTTTACTGGTCAATTACCAAAATAAAGTTTGTCTATTACAATGTATTCTATTTTAATTAAGGGCTGCAAATTCTATTTTAAAGGTATTATCTATATTTCAGGTACTGCTTTTTCCAGACCACAAGTTCTAAGACTTAAGCACACTCCTTTTCTCCCAGCAGGAAATGCATCCCATAATTCCATCTACTGTACTTCAGTTACATATAGCCGCTCAGGATTAATTCAAGAATAATAACATTTTTAGTTTCAAAAGAGCTACTCCTATAGAGCTTACCAATGTGATCAGGATTAGCAACCTGATGCCTCCCAGGTTATACCAGACCACATAACTAATGCTAAAGGACTGAGAATTTTCTCTAAATCACAATATAACTTTGAATATCTTTTACAAGCTTGAACCTCATACATCAGTAAAGGTAGAAATCAACCTCAAAAGAATAAAACCAGTTTCCTTGTGAAGACATTTTTAGTACACTGTACTGTATTAAGGAACAATAAATTTTATTTAATAGCTAAACAGCAATATCTAAAGATATTTATTCAAATGATATAAGAAGAAAACATTCTGAGTGAATTAATTGAATATCTTTAACAGAATCCTTCTGTTGGAAATATGTATCAGGTTTCCAGTTTCCTCCTCTTCCTTCCAAAAAGGCAACTAAATGATGAGGTGGCAATTAGATGCAACTCAGGAAGCATTCTATCCAAACAGCAATGGTGTAATTTAAAGATCAATTCCACAGATTATCTTTTCTTGCCAAATATTTTTTCATGATTAAGGGATCCAGTAGTGTTTGTCTATTTGACTTCTATGTTGCTACGAAGAGCCATGAGGGTTGAGTTCTTGAAAAGAGGGTCTTTGATATCCTTGAAATTGTTGCTGGGAGAAGAACAGCTTATTGCTGGGCCTGACATTATGACCTGATCTCTGATGTACGCTGTTGGCTGTGTGTTGTGGATTGTAAGCTTGGTTCCCTTCACTGTAACAGGTGATGAGATTCTGGTTCCAGATTTGAGAATGTCTCCTTAAATAAAAAGCATCCATCTGGTGGTGATGCTGTCTAACCCACATTTTTCTATCTTATCAAGTAGTAGGTTGTGGTCTACAACTTACTGAAGTCCAAGTGATCTGGGTCCTCATGTTACTGACCTCAGAAGGATGGAAGGCCGAGTCAACCTTGAGCTGGATTGAACTCCTGGCAGTGGGCAGAGTCCGCCTGGAATACTGCATCTAACCACTGTACCACCACGGCTCATGGATAAGCATAAAAGCCAGTATTTATTTTAAAATTAGTCCATGAAAACATTTATTCCAGGAATCATACTTTCTCTCACACCTGAGCACTGTCGAAAAAGGATACTAGAAACCCTTACTCTAGAAATAGTTATGCCAAATCAAGATAACAATGCAGTTTTAAATTACACAAATCATGACAATTTATGACTGCCTATTGTGGTACAACATGAACACCCCTGGAGCAGATGTCCTCTTCATCTAAGACCAACCAGAGATACATGCTTTATCTGCAGATGTTTTGAGTCCTCTGCAATTTACCTTCTTTGGTTTCGTCCACCTCTCCTAAATGGAAAATGCCTGAAACAGAAAGAAGGCAAAAACTGCTGATGCATAAATAACAGGAGCATTTGGTGAAGGAAGGGCTTGCAGTGGCCAACATGAGCTCATCCTTCCTTTGTTTTCTCCCCTGAAAATATGTGGCACTGGGCCACACCTGGTTTCCACTGATAAAAGAGATACACCGGTAGCACCAGAATGTGGGTGCTGACAGAAGAAGATTTGTGTCTCATGGATGAGTAATGAGGTAGCCATTAGCTTAGCAGGCAATTGATGTTGAAGGAAAAGCTGGCTTGGATTTCAGCAAGCTAATTGCAGACAAGCTAAAAGCTGAAGCAAAGCCCAGCAGCTTTATTACCCCGGCAAAGAGGCTGGCAACCTTTCCCCAGCACAGACTGGGAAATGGCAAAGCCACAGCAAAAGAAGCCAACTGATTTGAAATTGGCTAAATAAAATCGAAAGACCTTACTATAAGGTCAGGCAATAAGGAGAACAGAATTGTTCCTGTAGCCGTTTAGGAATTAGATAAACACAGAGGCATAGAGGTTAGAGTTGTATATTATAGCATAAGGACTAAGTGATAAAATGGAATTTAAGAATATAAGTTTGGTAAAATAAGCTGCCCAGAGTCACCTCATAGGGGAGATGGGCAGCATAAAATTTTAATAATTAAATAAACTTTTATATAACAAGAGCTTCCATGAAAACACAGGGAAGATAGCATCTCTTTATTGGTGATCTATGCTAATGTTTCTCAGTCTTGGCAACTTTAAGATTTGTGGACTTCAACACCCAGAATTCCTGAGTTGAAATCCACAGGTTGAAAAACGCTGATCTTACGCCATTTCCCAGAAGAATCCCCTCGTGCTGTTCTCAAACGAAATCTTGCAACATTTCAGCAAAAAAAAAAAAGAGCTATAAACCATAGAATTTAAGAGCTTAACAGATGGGTTTAGATTCATTAAGCCATGATGTGGCCCCTTTGATTTAGTGACCCAGTTGTTTGTAAACTATGGATTATGTTTGTAATCAGGATCCAATCTGGGTCAGTCACCAGAACTTTCAGACTTGTGCTGTGCCTAGTTGCAATGATTGTTCTAAGCAATGCCCATCTATGTGTAGTATGAAGATGAAGACAATTATGACTTGCTCAATAAACCATGATTATGCACCAGGAGACTTGAGTTCTTGTCCAACCTTAGCCACAAAGCTGTCTGGGTGACCTGGAGCTGATTCCCCTCTCCCTCTCCTCTAAGAAGGCGATAGCAAGCCATTTCCAATCCTCTGGCCAAGAAAACCGCAGGGACTAGTTGCTAGGAGTCACTGACCCAAAGCACAAAAAACCAATATGTGAGAACCCCAAGTTCAGGATGTTGTCAATAGAGAATGCAGCAGACGGTTCTTCCCCCTTAAAATGACAACAACCCAGTAACTTCAAGTCTGTGGTTACTGTTCTAACCACGAGGATTTATTTACTCATATCTATCACAAGATGTCAGAAACAAACCATCTACCAGGAGACGCATAGGTAGTGGCTGGCAAGTTAAAGATTTTGCACAATTTTGTAGTAATTTTAAAAAGCCAAGGGAAGAAGGTTAATCCTTCCATCCACTGCACAGCAACAGTAGCCTGCTTTGTGCAAACCATGTCCCTCCCACCGCCTGGGTCCTTAACCAACATACTCAGCCACTGGGCCTCCTCCTAAATCAGCTGAGTGATCAGGGTAGGGAACTTGTGGAAAGAAGATGTTAAACTGGATCAAATCGACCATTCTGCAATTCAAATGTTTTTCAGGGAAAATGGGTTTTAAAGGTAGGAAAAACAGGCAGGGGACCATGGAACTGCCAATTCTCCCCAGTCCCTCTGGAGTACAAATCAAGGTTTCTTATGGAAGACACAGCATGAAGGGCTGAGCACTGTTCTGGGGGCTGGGGAGGGAATGAGATACCTCTAGAAGTTAGTTGTGCTCATGTCAACATCTAACTTTACCCTAATCTTTCCTACTTTTATATCCAGAACCTCAGAAAGCTCTATTTTCACTGAATTATATTGAATCCACGGAAATAAAAGAAGAAGAAAAACCTTGGTGTGTGTTCCCAGTTTTGTGGTTCATAGTCAGCAACTTCATAATCAGGATTTGGGATATGACCAACATGCCCTTTCATCCAAGCCATATGATGGTTCCTTTAGAAAAAAAGTAAGGAAATCAAATACAGTTGTTTAAAATATTGCTTTCAGGGGTCCAGAGTATCTTGTCAATAACCTCTAGATGCTAGGCATAGTCTTCTGGCTTGCAGGGCGTTTTGGCTATAGCAAAGTTCTAGTTTACCCAGAATAGAAAAAAAACACTGTAAAACTGGGCTTTGGTTATGCAAATTGTGCTCAAGCTGACCAACATACTAGCAGAAAGTGCTGCATTGGGATGTGTTTATCTCTAACAAGTAATTAGTCTATGCCTTTTTTATGACAAGCATTATGTGAAAGCCTTGGATGAGCAAAGTCATGATGAACCGTGGAAGTTAATATCTAAGGTGATTTGGTGATGACCATGGCAAGTGGGAAACTGTGACTCTGAAAGTAAATGTTGTCACTGGTTGTAATGGAACGTGTGGATGATCTTGGGGGAGGAAGGAAAGAGATACTGCTTAGGGAACAATCAGACGAGAGGGAGGAACCCCAAGTGGCTTGATGGTGGAGAAAGAAACTTAGGTTCAGGTGATTAAGTGATGGTGTGAACGTGATTTGCAAGACTCTGTTAATATAGCCTTACAATAAGGTAGAATTAGTTCATCTAATCCTGTTTCCTGTCTGGTTTACCTGGAAGAGCATGAATTAAGGAATGAAATAAATGGAGAAAAAATAGATAGGTTATGTGTCTGTGAAACTAAAAGAAACAGGAACGATGTAAAAGAACTAAATGAAGGTGGTCTAATCAATTTGGAGAAAATGTGCAGGGAAATCATGTTCCCATGGTTTAATATACTTATGGACAAATCTGTAGGAAATGTGATTATAGTATGGCAACTGGCGATGTCAACATACATGTACTTTGTAAGTAGACAATGATATGTTAGCCATATGTGAGTATTAACACATTCTGCTCATTGCAATGGGATATCACATGATCATGACATGGGAATCCCAGGCAAGCAGGCCAGTGGGCAAGAATTATGGATGGATGGTGCTGCGGGCAAACACTATGGTGTGGGTTGATAGGTGCCATGGGTGGATCCTACAGCGTCCAGACAAGAGGGTAAGCACTGCAGTCAGGGCTATGGAGCACAGACAGGCAAAAAAGCAGCCCTGTGAGAGTGACTCTCAACCTCATACCGGCTTCCCCACTGACTTTGCTTAAGGGAAGCTGGTAGGGAAGGTCACAAATGGTGATCACATAATTGCTATTTTGATTCACTTTTCTTAATTATGAACCAGTTGCCAATTGCCCGGATTGCAATCATATGACTATGCAGATGCTGTGATGGATGCAACTTTGAGGACCAGATTTATATCCTCCTTGTATAGCACATCATATTTTTGAAGGATGCTGAACAAGTGGTTGTTACCCGACTATCTGTAGAGAAAACTGTGGCTGGATGGTGTTGATAGATTCCAAAAAAGAAAGGCATGAGAAGTTCAAGCAAAATAAAGCGAAGGATGGAATTGGGGAAAATCAGGATAATTTAGAGGAATAGTATTATTTATTTAACAAACTTATAAGCCACCCATCTTGCCAAAGGTGATGCTAGTATATGGACAGGCATAATGAGTAGCATTTGTATAAATTAGATTCAATTGATTTCCTATGCTCTAGTGCTTACTTCTTTTGCTTAGTACTAGGGGTTTTTTTTGCACTTTGTGTAACATTCTGAAACAGTGTGAGGGATATGTTTGTATGTTGCTTATAGGATAATGTGCAAGAGCTAGCAGCTATGGAACACAACTTCACAGGCAGGAATTCAATAGTACAAAATGCAAAAAAAAAGTTGGAATGTTCCATTTCAGCAAGTCACAATGGAAAAGAGAATTACCTTGTTCCAGATGTTTTTTGAAGAGCAGAAATATAGTTCTTTCTCTCTATAGAATGTCCCCTGCATCTGTTGAACACTATGAAAGAGAACATAGCTTTAATGTTCTTGCCCCACTATACAGATGTTATTTCTACACATACTATTTTCATTAAAGCACAAAGCAGCAGCACATCTTAATTCCAGGGAATCTTGGAGTCTCTACTGTATAAAATAAACTGCTCTATCTCTACAGGCAATTTCCTGGCATGGGGCCAGAGGCAGAGGCAGGAGTTTCTCAGGGAAACTCCTAAATTTGCAGCATGGAGACCAAGATACTTTTCTATGGAAACCAGATCACTATTGTCAGTCAGAAAGTAGTTTTATGCAAAACATCTCATTCTGTCAATGGGACATTCTAAGTAACACCAAGACATTCCGTGCTTCGCTTTTACCAGGGCTATCAGTTTTGCACAACATCCCTACTGGAAAGTGCAATAAAATCTATTGTTGACCAAGTATTAGATTACAGCAACCCGCACTGTGTGCAAGGGGAAAGATACATCTTTAGAGAAAGCATTGCGGGCCCTTTTCTTTATCAGTGCAATTCAAATTTCCTATGTATTTTTATAAGTATTTTAGTGGCAAAGGGAAAGTTATGGAGTTCTTTAATTTTAAAAAACTCCATAACTTGAAGTAGTCATAGAGACATTTTTTTTCTAGATAATCTGATGAATTATATCACCAACACGGTATATTATATCTAATCAAAACTGAAAAATGTTTCTTTTTTGCATGATAGCTTGTAAAATATGCCTGCAATTAATAGCTATTTTTTTGGTTATCATATCCCATAATCCTACTATTTTAATAAGGCAAGGCATTAGAAATTAGGTTAATTCACAGTGCTTATTTGTTAGTGTTTAATGCTTTTTGTCTTTCTTTTCTTTTTTTGGCTGTGCAAACTGTTACATTTATTAGCTACACTGTAGTTGAACTAGAGTGCTCTCAATTAAGGGCACAACACTTACATTCTATTGCTATGTTTGGATCCATTCCTTCAACATCAATAAGGTATCTTAACACAAGAACAATACATAAAGAAAGAAGAAAACTAACATAAGAAAAAATTATAACACAGTGAAGCTCATTTACTAGACTTCAGTGCAACAGACCATAAACAGAACAAATTCACTCTCAGATTTACATTATCTGCATGATGTAAATTTAAAGGAAAATTCAGTCTGCTGAAAACAGCCTGTTTACAGTTTACTGAGTTCCAATAAAATGAGGCTTTATGCAGTTTATGTCAGTTAATATTTGTGCAATGATTTAATTACACAAATGAGATAAATGAACACAAACAGCATCATTTGTATGACCTCATCCCTCATTACTCCATGGAAATGAGATCTCATAACACTTCTTTAAAAATTGGTTCAGTTTTAAAAATACATTAATTGGATTACAACAACTTTGAATATTTACTGTGCATTAAAAACGAACAGAAACAGAGGAATCGGACACAGCACTAAATAAGAGTCTAACTACTAATTACATGACTGAAATACAGGAAGTCCTTGAGTTACGACTGTAATGGAATCTGCCTATCAAACATGGTTGTAAATCAGGTCACTCACATGATCGACCCTTTTTGACAACCTTTTTTGTGGTGATCATTAAGCAATCACCATGGTAATAAAGTGACTGCCATGGTTGTTAAGTGAACCCAAGTTTCACTACTTATTTATTTATTTATTAAATTTATATGCCACCCATCTTGCCAAAAGACGACTCCAGGAGGCTTACAACCTAGTAGGCAAGAATGGGCCAGTTTTGCTGAGACTCAGAAGTAAATGCAGCTTTTCAGCAAGACTGAAACGCAGGGCTGGGCAGGAGTAATGGGACAAGGCCACGGGTGGTAAATGCAGCCTGGCCGGCAAGAATCCAAAGTGTCATCATAAGAATTGGGGCAGGGAAGTGGGGGGGATGATGACCATTGGGATTTTGAAGCTAGTTCGTAAGTAGCCCCAAGGAAGTCCACTGTGACTTCAAATTGTCACTAAGCAACTGGCCGTAAGTCAAGGATTACCTGTACTAGTTCTTTGGAAATATAAAATTCAGTAGCTGTGCACAACTTAAGAATTCTAAAATACTTCTCAATTTTAACAAATTAAGGATTATAAAAATGTGTCTACTAATTCTCTCCTCTCCCTTGGAATTCATGGATAAGCTCTCCTGGGAAGCACGTTTAACAAAAATAAAAATCCGAAGTTTCAAATTTAAGGTACAAAACTATTGAGAAATTAGGATCTCTGACATACAGGCCATCTGGGTTGCCTAAAAAAGCAATTATGAATTTTTCTAAATAAAAAACCCTGTCTTCTTTTCCCATCCTTCCTTCCTTTATAGTATTAAGGCTAACAGAAAATAAAAATTTCTACAGGAATTATAATTAACCGAGTACAACCCAATCCAACAATCTATCAACTGAAGATAGACATAAACTGATATTTCTGCAGCAGATATGCATTTTCAAATCAGATCAGCGGAATCAACTTTGTTTCTAAGAAAAATTTACCTGCAAACAAGGTAACCTGTTCGATTCAAGCCATGTGTGCAGTGGACTCCAATAAGTTTGTCTGGGGAGATAGAAAATGCAAGTGGTGTCTTTATAAAGGCCCAACTACAGAGATGATTTTACTTTTTAGCGGCTTTTATACATGAACGAATATATCTGGTTTTTTTTTATGTGTTGCAAGAGGCAGTAGCATTTATGGGCAAAAAATAGTAATGTGACGTGTAAGTTAAAAATGACAGAGAACTCTTGACAGAATAACAGTTGGAAGGGACCATGGAGATCTTCTAGTCCAGCCTCCTGCTCAAGCAGGAGACCCTATACCATTCCAGACAAGTGGCTGTCCAGTCTCTTCTCAAAAACACCCAATGATGGAGCACCCACATCTTCTGGAGGGAAGCCGTTCCCCTGGCTGATTGTTCTCACTCTCAGGAAATTTCTCCTATAGTTCTAGGGTGCTTCTCTCCTTTTCATCCTTGTTCTGCCTTCGGATGCTTTGGAGCATAGGTTGATCCCCCTCCTCTCTGTAACAGCTCCTCAAATATTGGAAGACTGCTATCATGTCATCCTTAGCCCTTCTTTTCACTAGACTAGACAAGCCCAGTTCCTGGAACCGTTTTTCATATGTTTTAGCCTACAGTTCCCTAATCATCTTTGCTGCTCTTCTCTGCACTCTTTAGAGTCTCAACATCTTTTTGTATCATTGTGACCCAAACTGGACATAATTTTACAAGTGTGGCATTACCAAAGCAGTATAAAGCTTGCTTCTAGGTGTTCACATACCCGTTATTTTTCCAGGATCTTCCCCAAAAGTACAATGTACAATATGCAGAAACTCTCTAAGAAAATGGAGATACATTGAATTATTTAATAGTGGCAGCTTAGTTTTTAGGCAAGGATTAACTGATGTGTTCCTGAAGTAGTACAAGTATCCCTATCTCTTGCTTATTTATCCTCAGTATCTAGTTTTATTATTCCAGAACATCTTTCTGTTTTTACCAACCCTTTTCGGCTTTGTATTATCTTGATGTGTTGGTTATAATTAAAATCAGCTATTTCAGGAAGTAAATTCTCCAAACTGAAAGCATTTTAAAGTTTTCTTAGTTGGACTAGGCCCAAAACAGATTTGTTTCATCCTCCTCAAACCACCTCCAACTGGGAAGTTATTTCCAGAAACTGCTCCACAGTGACTGCCTTAAAATGGTCCACAAACAGGTTTAGGAATGGAATTTTTGGGGTTTAATGCAAAAATTCGGTTATTAAATCAAAATGTTTGCACATCCAGTCAGACTCACCATTATGCTGGTTCTCTTTGAGGAATTTTTTCACAGCGCTTTTGAATTTAGAAACTATAGCATTATTAGGTACTTCGTGTCCAACTGTTAAAATTTTACAATATTGTAGCATTTCTGGTAGCTCCTAAAAGAAAATGCAAAGCACTTGAAATAATTGAAATGAATACCCAAACAGCCACTTAAGAAAAAAATAAATGAGCTCAATAGAGCAGGCAAACAATGACAAGGCTAATGATCATGAATGCTCACCTTAGATTATACAATATCAGAACAATCTCCTTGGACCTAACTATATCTTGCTCCTATAATCCCAAAGCAATGACCGTATTAAGAATTAAGATCATATAACTTATCCCTGTTAAAGGAAACTTACCATTGGCTCATAGTAGCGTGTTGTGTATGTTAAATCAATGATCAAACCAAGTTCCTCTTTTTGCTCTTTCACTTGAGTGATAAGATCTGAGGGAGAGAAGCGCTCATCTGGGGCAAGCCTCCATTCAAAACTCTGAAAAAAGATTATTCAGTGTTGCTGCTAAACTGTCAAGATACTCTGATACATATCAGAAGCCAAGCACAGCCGTATTTGCATAACCTTGTGTAACTTGAGTACAGTCCTCAACTAGTTAACAACTATAATTTGGAAGGGACCATCATTAAGTGATAATCATCATAAAGTGAAAAATCATGTGACTGCACTGACCTATCATGCAGTTACTAAGAGTAAATTTGATGGGCAGAATTTACAGGACGGGCATACAAGACTCAAATAATAAATAGTTGTTTCCAGGGAAGGAACATGGTGGGTCAGAGCTGCCTCTTAAATCAGACTGCAACCAGCTGTCGTCATAAGTATTTCTTTCCCTTGGGCAAAAAATCTTAAAAACGTACACTTGGTTAATGCTACATGAAATCTACAAATTGCTGACATAGTGCCAGCAAATCACCTGCCCCAAAGTGACATTTTTATCTTTAAAAGGCACTGAAATCACAGCAATTGAGTGACTACATTCTTCCCCTTACTTACCTTCCTAAGAGGAACTTTAAAGGCAATGAAGCGCGTCCCGGGCATTCTTTTTCCAAGAGGCAGATAATCAGTCCATCTAGAAAGGAAACTTCACAATGTATTGCTTTTGCTTCAATGTGATTAGGACAGAGTTGCAGTGAGGAAGGATAACATAGAAGCTGAGAACTCTTGAGGCAATGAATACATTTCAAATGTAGGCACTCTTAGAAAACAGCTATCAAACTCTCATTTCAAACTAGAAATCAAATTATTGATGTTATTCCCTGAAATTATCTCTACCATCCCAAACTATTTTTGTCTTTTTTTCTGAGCAGGTAGACATATTTCCAAAGGAAACACTCTGCTGCACCTGATTCATGAAAACCACTTCCAGCTGATGGCTCTGTCTTGCCAAGTCAGCCCATCCAGCTCAGGGGGGCTTTGGGCTCCCCGCCACCGAATGTTTCAGTGTACTTCAGCTGCAGCCTTGCCCTTTCCCCTGAAAGAAAGAAGTAGCTGCAGAACACTAATGGGATTGGTAGTGCCAAAGAATTGTCGTGAACCACCCGCACCATCCCAGCAAAAGAACTGTGAGGCGTCTCCTGCCATTTAACATCTTCTGGACTAGAAGACCTCTGAGGTTCTGTTCTATTTATTCTATTCTCACATACAGAAAGATGCCTATGCAGAATAACCCTTGGCAGCAGACAAGGGACTACAAATAGTCCTTAGTTAGCAACCACAATTGGGACCAGCAGCACTATTGCTAAGTAAAGTGGTCGCTAAGTGGGAAATCCATTCTCCTACCTTTTAGAACACTCAGCACAATGCAGGGATAGCCAGGTTGGCAGCTCCTGCCTACAAATCCGGAACTTAATCCTGATTTTTTTGCCCGGCCCTGAAATTAACCAGGAGGGTGTCTGAAGTTGGGTAGATTTGACGCAAATACACCGAACGGCTCATTGGACGCCACCCTGGAGGGGTTACAGGATCAAGCGCGGACCCGGCAGTTCCGACTCTAAGCCTCCACCTCGCTTGCCTAGTCACGGAGACCGAGGGAGGAGAGGCGCCGGTGCTGCCCGATAAAGCGGCCGCGGGCGGGAAATCGCCGCTGTAAGGCACCGCCTCGCTCAGCGGCAGAGAGCAGGGCTGGAGGACTGGCAGCAGAGTCGATTCCCGGGGAAGCGCTTCTCCCCCCCCCCGATACCCCCGGGCCAGAGGGGCCTCGCCCCGCTCACCTGTCCGGCAAGCCGTTCCTCCGCTTCCCCATGGCTCCCCTCGGGCCGGAGCCGCTCTCGCCCCGCCCGCCGCCCTGGTGCGGTTGGCCGAGAGAGTCGGCCTCCGCCGCTTCCGGCTTCCGGCCCTGGGCAGACCTAGAGCTTCCGGTTAGGCCCTGCCAACCGCTGGGGCGCAGGAGGGGCACCCGAGAGACTCCGAGTTCGCTGCTCCCGCGGCGCGCACCGCCACCTGCAGACGGGCCGGGGTAGCGCGCATGCGCCCAGCCGCCGTCGGACTGCTCCTCTCGCCTGGAAAGCGGTTCTGCGGCCTGAAAGGGGAGGCCCAGCCTGCCGGCCCGAGCGCCCAGCCTGCCGCCAGACCCGAACGCCATCGCCGCCGCCACCTCCTCGCGCGTGCGCAAAAGCGCGAGGCCTGGCCGGGCCTGTCCCGCCGTGGCGGCGTCCCCGCCCTGCTGGATTGGGAAGCAGGTGAGAGGCGCTTCCGCTGGGGAGGGGGTGGCGTAGTTCTTGACGGGAACTGTAGTCCGGGAGTGGCCTGCAGTTTGCACATGCTCAGGCGCGCCGGGGAAGGAGCGGGGCTGCGGCCGGCCGGGCCGGTCGGGCGGGGGAGGCGCCCGGCTTGGCTTTACAGGCTCCAACTTGGGCGCCCGCCGCCCTGCGGTCCTCCTGGGGCCGCCTCCTCGTGAGGGGGGCCGGGGGTGGCTGGCGCCCGGAGGACGGCGCTCCCCGACCTTTCTGCGGACTGACCGGGGGGGAGGGGAAGCGAGGAAAGGGTTCCCCGCCGCATGCGGCAGGCGCGCCTGCCAATAGAGCTGCCGCCTCTGGCGCGGCCCGGTTCCGAAGGAGTGGCGGCGGCGGCGGCCCGGGGCTTGGGGCCCCCGGTCGTGGAAGATCTGGGAGCGGGCGCGCCGTCCCTTCGCTCGGGAGGGTCCTGCTAGCCCTGGAGGCGCCGCGGCTCCTCATCGCCCGGCCCCGGCCTGGCCTGGCCCTCTGCTTGAGCGGCTGCCTCCTGGATCTGGAGGCGCAGAGCCGGGACCCACCCCCGGCTGCTGTGGGCAACGCGAGATGTCCTTCGCTGAGCACTGCAAGGGTCGGTCTTCCCCCCCTTCTCACGAAGCCTAAATGGGAAAGGGGATCCAGTAATGGCGGGGGTTGCTGCCATCGAGACCCGGTTTTAGATTGTTACTCTAGGCCATTCTGGGGCCCTTGGGGTCCTGTTTTGGCCCCTGGAGGCTGCGAGGGTCTGGACGAGATATCCCTTAAGCAAAGCCGGCTACTGTGCCTGCTCCGGGGTTCTTGCTCGACAGATTGGCACCAACCTTGAGGCGGCAGATCTTGGACTTGGGGGTCCTTTTGGACTGACAGCTCCTGCAAGCAGAATCGGCACTAGAGGCTGTGGCCAAAAAGACCCTGTCCAGCTTTGTCTGGTGGGCTGGTTGAGGCTGCTGGAGTAGCAGGACCTTGTCTTCATTTGCAGCAGTGTTGTACACGGAGGTGCCTTTGAAGACCACACAAAGGCTACAGTTGATTGCGAGTGCAGAGGCCCCTAGGCTAAAGTATTCGCCAGCAGAAACTCTACTCAGGTGCTGCTGACTCTACGTTGGTTGCCTAGTTGCTCCTAGGTGCAATTTAAAGGCCTGCTGTTAATCTATAAAGCCCTGCATGACTTGATTTATTAGAGCAGATTCTTCCACTGGGATTGGTCCAGCCAATTTGACTTGCCTGGGAGAGGCAGGGGGAGGCTCAGGCGCATTGCTTGGGCAGGGTAAGGCTGGTGCTTTGCAAAGCTCTTCCAATGGGCCTCAGTTCGCGGCTCTTCTAGAAGGCATTTGGGTTGTGATTCCCTCTAGTTGGATTATAGTTTGGCTTTGTTACTAATTGTATGCTATTTTTAAAAAATTATATTTTACAATCTATTTCATTGTGCATTTTATCTTGAAATTGCATAAGAGTACTTCAGAATTGTAGTGGTCAGTGATTAATGAATAAATGAATCTGGGCCACAAGGAACACAGCCCTGGCTTGTGTTTTTTCAGGCTACTCGCTCATTCGTTCTCCTTCCCTTCCAGACAGAATGAAGTGCAGCTTCAAGAGCAGGTTGTGCCATTGCTAAACACAGAGTGAAACATGTCTTATCGAGGGAATGAGCGTGATTTTCAAACCTCAGCTCGGAGGATGGGGACCTCTTTGCTTTTTCAGCTGTCAGTCCATGAGAGGGAACTAGACTTGGTCTTCCTGGACCACAGCTATGCCAAGCCATGGAGTGCCCACCCTGATGCCAGTAATGCTCGTCCCACACGCCTGCTGTTTGTCACTCCCAGACGACATCAGGATAACAGCACTGCGTGAGTTGTCTCTTTCTTTCTTTGCCTTCCATGTTGACTTGAACATTTATGGAATCAATAACTTGATTCGACCATACTTATTGGGCCCATGTTATTTTGAGTACTGTATGTATTGCTTGTGTGATGATTTCCTTCAAGCTCATAAGCCCTTAAAGAGGAACAAAATGATGATTACAAAATGCTCTTTGTCTTAAAACTGCAATTTCTCTTTTCAGAGAGGCAGATGTTCCTATTGACATAGAAACAGTTACACCAACACCCGTGCCCCTCTATGATAACCAGAAAGCCCGAACTGTGATGAATGAGTGTGAACGCCATGTGATTTTTGCCCGTACAGATACTGATACACCTCCTCCACCTGATGACTGGGAGGAACATATGAACAGGTATAAAAATGAGTGGCAGGAATCAGAGAAGAAAATCATTGTAACTGTTGATGTTATCTCTACCTTGATGCTGTTGTTTCTCACCCTGAGTGTAATTTGGGGATATATAATATTAGAACTCATAAATTTATTTTGAATTTCAAAAGATTCTTCTTGTCATCTCAGATTATACTCTGAACTATGCGAATCATGTTAATTGATGATTCGTGTTTTATTATAATGACAGTGTATGGTAAGTATAACTGCACTCATAATATAAAATCATGCTAAACTGATACGGTGTAGTTTTATTCCATATATTTATGTGAATGAACATATATGAATGATGGAAGATTGAGACTCACTCAGCATAGGCCAAAGAGGCAGGAAGATTTGATCAGAACACTTTTATCTTAGGCAGCAAATGAAAAACTAGCAGTAGGAAGAGTCTGACACTATCAAAATGTAGTTCCCAAAACCACAGATAGTTTCCCTTTGAACAGATGAGGTGGCATTCAGCTTGGAAATGTACCAGGGATGGAAGAAAATTGCCAAGAGAGACCGGCCTAGTTCTGTTGGAACATATAAGCCTAGGTCGGCACTGTAGTCCCTGGATGCCATCACAAAGACCAAGCATTTTGTATTTATTATCTCACTCTGATTCTTATTTATTTATTAAATTTGTAGGCAGCCCATCTCACTATTAGATAACTCTGGACAGCTTTCAACATCATAAAAAAATACAAAACATTTAAACAAATACTACAATTAACAGAACTTGGATGTTAGGAACCAGAATACAATGGGGTGAGGGTGGATCCGCTAACTGCCTCCAGCAAAGTAATGCCCATTGGGGTCCCATGCCAATCAGCAAAACCATTTTTAATGGCTTTTTCAGAAGACCCAGAGGGTGGAGCAGGCCTCATCTTGAGGGACATGAGTGGGGGGGGGGAAGAATCATGGCAGAAAAAGCCCTTCTGCAAACCCCCCCCCAGTTGGAATTTCTTGTCCACAGCATGCCTCTTCTGCCAGAACCTTTCCTCTTGCAGTGATGTGTTTGTCAAACTGCTCTAGCAGTTTGACCTTTAAAGCAGACAATGCCTTAGGATCAGATTTGAGTTTATAAAACTTCATGCCAGCCATGACAGTGTATCCCCAGACTGGGAATACATATATTCAGGAATGGGGTTATAGGAGAAGCCTCATAACTATGATATGGCTAGACAATTTTTTTCATTAGAGCAGGGGTCCTCAACCCCTGGTCCATGGACCGGTACCGGACCGCACAAACAAGCAAAGCCCCATCCGTGAGATTCAGGCAGCACACAAAACCACACACCCTCCACTGCGCAGAAATACCTCTCTCCACGTAACCGGTCCCTGGTGCCCAAAAGGTGGGGACCTCTGTATTAGAGGCCAGTACAAGAATCATGAAGTCATGAGATCTGTCTCCTACAGAATGCAGAAATGCTTGTTGTAAATGTTTACTCCCGGATTAAAATTGAAGTCTCTTTCTCCCACTTTTCCCATCAGAGGAAACACCACAATCTTTTACTTCGACTAGAAGTAAGAAGCCTTGAACCTGGAAAATGTGTGCTCAGTAACCTGGGAATTGCTAGTTCCTGCCTTACCAACTGCAGCCCTTACAGTTTCTTCCATGATAGAAGAAATGTGGGATATTAATGTATTAAATGAATCAGTACAATTTAATGTAGCTGTGCTACTCTGGAGAAAAATACTTTAAATGTACTTCTAATATTTAAATGGAAAATTCTTCATTGCCACGACGTGCCTGGCTGTGGGCTTCCTCCGGGATGGGTGTGTCCATGCACAAACCCACACGTGCTGTGAAGAGGACGCTGCTGCTTTAGGAACTGACACTTGGAGCTGCTCTCCCATTTGGTAGGCACAGTCCTATCATCTAGTTGGGATAGGGCAATGGGAGCATTGCGATCACTTCCTCAAGGCAGTAGAAGTCACTCCAGGTTTAAATAAACCATAATTTCCACATTTGGATGCACAGCAAACATTGAGTATTTGAAGGTGTTAAACTTGCTGTTTCCTTGTCTTTACTTCCAAAAACAAGGGCAGTAGATTTTCTGTTAGTCTGATATAAGCATGAGTTAGAGACTTCTAATGCAGTCCTGATTTCTTCAGGAGCAGGACTTCATAATGGAATCTTTCCTTTACAGATCTGGCTGGACAATGGCCCAAAACAAGCTGTTTAATAAGATCTTCAAAGCCTTGCAGTCTGACCGACTGGCCCGGTTAGCTAATGAAGGGGTAAGCATCTCCTGTCTCTTGCTAATTTTCCCCCTGTCTTCCCTAGGTTCTGTGCTTGTAACTGCTCAGAATATGAAGTTATCCATATTTTGTTTACTCCTACATTTTATCCAGTTGAATCTGGATGGTTCTGTTTACCACTAAGCTTGAAATGCTGTGATACCATAACTTACTGAGGATTTTTCTTTGTTGCTTTTCACAAGGCTTGCAATGAGCCAGTGCTTCGAAGAATAGCGGTGGACAAATGTGCTCGGAGGGTCCGACAGGCTTTGGCAAGCATCAGTTGGGAGACCAAGCTGATCCAGTGGCTCCACTCAACTTTGGTAGAAACGCTCAGTTTGCCAATGCTGGCTGCGTATCTGGATGCTCTGCAGACTCTCAAGGGAAAGGTGATGGGTGCAAAGTGTTG